GCAATGAGGCCCTGCGGGTGAAGAAGAAGATGGAGGGTGACCTCAACGAGATGGAGATCCAGCTCAGCCATGCCAACCGCATGGCCACCGAGGCCCAGAAACAAGTCAAGAGCCTCCAGAGCTTGCTGAAGGTACATGGAGACTGTTGGAAGCAGGAAGTCACCTCACCCAGAGAAGGGTAGTGGCCGTGTTGGGTGGGGGTGTCCCATCACAGCACCAGATCCCTCCTGCCCCTAAGCCATTGCAAACACCCACCATGGGCCCCTCCTGAGCCACCATACGGGCTCGCCATGGCATCCAGTTCAGCTAATAGCCTTCTGATGGGCCAGAGGCCATCTCCGTCTCTCACTCTCCTGACCCTCAGGACACCCAGATCCAGCTGGATGACTCAGTCCGTGCCAATGACGACCTGAAGGAGAACATTGCCATCGTGGAGAGGCGCAACAACCTGCTGCAGGCTGAGCTGGAGGAGCTGCGGGCAGTGGTGGAGCAGACGGAGCGGTCCCGGAAGCTGGCTGAGCAGGAGCTGATCGAGACCAGCGAGCGGGTACAGCTGCTGCATTCCCAGGTGAGCAGCTCCTCTGGGTGGTCTGGGAGGGAAGCATGGGCAGGACTTCACAGGTAAGGTTCAGGAGATGCTCGTGGATGCTCAGTGCTTTTCCTGCTCTGCCCACCTCAAACCTCAGAATACCAGCCTCATCAACCAGAAGAAGAAGATGGATGCAGACCTGTCCCAGCTTCAGACTGAAGTGGAGGAGGCGGTGCAAGAGTGCAGGAACGCCGAGGAGAAGGCCAAGAAGGCCATCACCGATGTGAGTCCCCCAGCCCTGGCCTGCCTGCTCCCAGCCAGGGTCTCCTCGGGCTTGAAGACTTAGACCAGGTCTCACCTCCCCCCCGTGCACAGGCCGCCATGATGGCGGAGGAGCTGAAGAAGGAGCAGGACACCAGCGCCCACCTGGAGCGCATGAAGAAGAACATGGAGCAGACCATCAAGGACCTGCAGCACCGACTGGACGAGGCCGAGCAGATCGCCCTCAAGGGAGGCAAGAAGCAGCTACAGAAGCTGGAGGCACGAGTGCGGGAGCTGGAGAACGAGCTGGAGGCCGAGCAGAAGCGCAATGCTGAGTCGGTCAAGGGCATGAGGAAGAGCGAGCGGCGCATCAAGGAGCTCACCTACCAGGTGCGGGAGCGGCGGCTGCGCTGGGGCCGGATCCTCTGTGTCATGGCCTGAAGCCAGGGTGACAACCACTCCAGAGGAATGGAGTGTTCTCTCTTAGCCTCTTCTAGCGTAAGGGGCTAGAATTCAGCCCTGTTTCTACTCTGCCTGGCCCTAGTCTACCCTGAGTGTCTCCTGGGTCAGAGGCCAGACTCTGAGCCTCCTGGCCTTCAAGTTCCATCTCAGCCTTCACCCTCAGCCTGTCCCCTGGGGACACACCCAGAGCTCCAGCAGAGCTCACCCAGCTAGGTTACCAGAAATATATTGCCAAGCCTGGTGCCATCACCACCAAAATATACCAAAAATACACCAAAGCCATTAAAACAAATCTAGAACTTTTTGGTTACTCAGAGAAAGTTTAACTGTCATGGTGTCTTCTAGAATCAGATTATCAATTAGATTTTATTTCTGTTCCAATCCAGAAAGTCACAGTCCCTCTATATATACTTGTCCTTAACCTTGATCAAGTCTATATCATTTCCCAGCAGCCCAGGAAATCCTATCAGGCCTGCAGTCCCAGAGTTCCTGCCAGCAGGTGCTGGGTTCTAGGAGCAGGGGGTTATCCTCCATGGGGCCCCAGAACCCTCCAGGGCCTGCTCCCTGGAACAGTGCTCACATGCAGTTTTGTGTGCAATTTTAGGAGGCTCATCAGCTCCCTAGACTCTTGGTCCAAACCATTAAAAATATTCATACATTCTTTAGTAAGAAATTGTAAGGAGAGCTTAAGTGTTCGTTGAGAAAGAGAAAGTTGAATCAGATCAGGATGTTATATTTGGGGTAAAGATGAAGAGTGGGGGAGGGGCCACACTGCCTCCTATGACTGGTGCCGTACTCACTCCTGCCCCCTCCCCCTGCGACCGCCAGACGGAGGAGGACAGGAAGAACCTGCTGCGGCTGCAGGACCTGGTGGACAAGCTGCAGCTGAAGGTCAAGGCCTACAAGCGCCAGGCCGAGGAGGCGGTGAGTGACCCTGTTGGGGCCTGGGCCTGGAGGAGGGGTCAGGGAGCTGGTCCCCAGGCTGGGAGGCTAAGAAGCCCCTCTCACCTCATCCTCCTGTCCCCTGAACCCCCGCAGGAGGAACAAGCCAACACCAACCTGTCCAAGTTCCGCAAGGTGCAGCACGAGCTGGATGAGGCGGAGGAGCGGGCAGACATCGCCGAGTCCCAGGTCAACAAGCTGCGGGCCAAAAGCCGCGACATCGGCACGAAGGTGAGTTGCCCCCAGTATGTCCCCCCAAAATCAGTGCCCCTCAGATAGAGCTCCTCACACCAGGATTCCTCCCCTTCATTCATTCCCCACAACTTGTAACTCAGTCCTCCGTGATTTCTAAGGTTTTTCCAGCTCTAACTTCCAATTATTTTGTGAATCCCACCCTGGAAGATGCCAGTTTATATATACCCACTGCATCCCAGTTTTCCCCAACTGCTATTTCCACTTATCTTCCACCTAGTTTAGGCCTACAACCTTGTACCCTGAACCTAAGATGCACTTCCCAGAGCACCCCTTGTCCTCACCCAGGCAGCCTCCCTCCAGCTGAGTCCACAGCCCTACCCTTCAGAACGTGCCCTCCACACTGACCCCTAGGACCCATCTCCCATCACCATGGGGCCTCCCTTGGGCCACACAGTGTTCCTCCCCGCATTGGTGCCTGTCTCCCCTTTGTTGTCTGTGCCAACCCCTACCCAACACACACCTCTCTGGGCTAGTTTGGACTTTGTTTCCTTTCAGAAGGGCTTGAACGAGGAGTAGATTTGCCACGTCGTCTTGATCTGTCCCATCCTAAGGGTGCAACAAAGCTCCCAGTCCTGGAGCCTGGAGAGCAGCCCCTATGGCGGAAGCAGAATAAAGCAATTTTCCTTGAAGTGAGAACCTGCCTCTAGACTCTTTTTCATGGCCTGCCAGCCACAGGAACATGGGAACATAGACATGGGGGCGGGGGCAGGAGAGAGGGAGGCGGGGCCCTAGAGGAGGATGCCAGACCCTGGGGAGGCAGTGAGACTCTGAGCATGCCCAGTGCAGCAATGACACATGTTCTCCTTTAACTCCCCCTTAGCAGGCACCACCTCCCGCCAGGCCTTTCCCTGGCGCAGAGACACTAGGGATTAAAGGAGATTTAGGGAAACCCTTAAGGCTCTCCTAGAACACGTAAGCCCATCTGCTATGGACCTACACCCCAGAACTGACAACACTATCTCTCACTACTGACAATACTGGGGCTGGGCCGTGAGGAGGTTTAGGGTGTAGGGATGCCCTCTGAGGCGTGACCCATTGAGCAGGCGGGGTAATGACCCGCCCAGTCCCGGTCTGAGACAGGTCTCTGAGAGGGCACAAGGACTTACAGCTGTAGCGCACTTCCCTTCCAGACATGGTCACCACTGTCTCCAACCACACCCAGAGGCCAGCACCTCCTCCCCGGCACCACCAGGATAACTGTACCCTCATCCACCTTCTCTCCTCCTCATCTCCTCCCGGGGCCTGACCCTTGGTCCAGGGCACTCCTTCTCCCTCATTTCTTCCCACGGTAGCTTCCGTTCCCAAGACCCTCCTCATCCAGACTTGCTGGAAGATAGGGGTTCTTTGGCCAATTTAAGGCAGGCCATCTGGAGGGGAGACAAGTAGAGGATGGACTAGGGAGAGTCACGTGTGATCAGGACGTGGGGAGGGAAGGTAGCAGGGAGGGCATGGGTCACTGGAGGGCTGGAAAGTAGAGGAAGGAGCAAGCACCCCTCCAACCAAACAAGCCCAGCCCCGCAGGAGTCACGCCACACCTGGACTGCTTAGGGAAGTCCTAGGAAGGTGGGCCACAGAGAGCAGAGGCTTAGGAGGCAGGGGGACTGCCAGCCTCCTGCGGGGACTCCCGGAATCCCGGGTTCAGCCCTGACCTGAATCTCCCCCAACCCACCACACAGCCACTCCCGCCACTCTAGGCTCTGAGCTCCCAATGCAGCAGCCCCAGCAAGGGCCTATCCAGAAGGGGAAGGAAGGGATATCACTATTAGACAACAAGAGGAGAGGGAGAGAGGAGAAAGGAAATAGGAAAGGAAAAAGGAAAGTCCGGAGAAGGGGGCAGTGGAGAGAGAGGGAGAGGGCTCAAGAACCTAGAGGATGGTGACCAGGGAAATCAAGAGCGAGGAAAGATAGAGATGTGAGGGGGCCTCGGATAGACCCACAGGCCATCCCACCCTTCTTCTCATACCCTCCTCCCTTCTCCCCACCTAGTACCACTCTTCTTCCTGGGATGGACTTGGAGAGCAATCAGGAGATAGTGGAGGAAACAAACAGACATCCTTGAAAAGGGAGACACGGGGGATGCCCAGAGAATCCAAGCTCCCAGAGCAGAAGAGATGCGGAGAGAATGGGTAGCTACTGTGTAGCAGACAGGGGTGTGAGAGGCCTGGCAGCTGAGTCCCAGAAAGAGGGTGCTGAGAGGAGATGGGAGAGGAACAGGGAGGGTGAGCCCTGGATGGAGAAGCTGGAAGAGCGGAGGTGGGTGATACTGGGTGAAGGGAAGAATCCTGGATCACCTTCAGATGCAAGCAAAACCAGGAAAGTGAGGTAGATGAAGACCGTGGAGGCAGAGACGGGACAGGCAGAGGGTGAAGAGAGGTCAGGCTTAGAGAAGTGGAGGCATGTCAGACCCCAGGATGGGCAGAAACACAGTGCCAGGGAGACTCAGAGGCCAGGTCCGCTTTGAGACAGGGAACCAGGCCGAGGAAAGGGAGACAGACACAGCGACAGACAGACACACAAGGAGCCAAGCAAAAGAGGGACAACCTGGTGCCAAGGAGGCTTGCCCTGACTCCTCGTCCCCTCACCTGTGGTAGGAGTCTCCGTCTGCACCCTCACCCTCCAGGACTTCTAGCAGAATGAGGAGCTGCTCTGGGAGGCAGCTGAGGGAGGACAGTGAGAGCTGGGGAGAGGAGGGGGCCTAGGAAAAGGAGAGGAGGACAAACCAGACCAGACAGGGGGGCAGAGCCCTGGAACCAAGTTAACCCCTTCCCTCCTCCTCCTTCCATAGGAGACAGCGGGAAATGCCTGCCTGCCTACCACTCACCCCTCACCCCACCTACATCAAGTCTAGTCAGCCCACTCAGGACACAGGGTTCCCTGAGGACAAAGCCTGACCCAACCTGACCTGGTGTTCTCGGGCCCCTTATCACGTCCCCAGGGCAATGAAAAGCAGGTGGTGACGCACTGGGCCACGGACTAACCCCCTAGCTTGCACACTGAGTCCTTGAGTGCCCTGGAGCTGGGGACAGGTAGCTTGCATCCTCTAGGGGTAATGATTTGGCATATGAACCTGCTGGAGATGGGAATGTGGGGTTGACTCAGGTCCCCTCAAGGACACTGGATTTGAGGTACAAGTCCCCTGAAGACACATGTGTATTCCTGACACCAGTAATGGGGCAGTGGAGGGTCCTAGGGAGTTGGGGACCTTGGGGGAAGGGCCACATATTTGGTGAAAAGCTCTCCTACCCAGAGAAGCTGACCCCTGTCCATCTTACCCACCTCCACACTCTAGAGCTATATTGAGAGGTGACAGGAGTTGGGATGGGAGGTGGGGAGCTGGGTGTGAGGGTATGGGGAAAAGCCAGGGCAGGGAAGCCTGGCATTGTTTCCTGAACACAATGTCCACTTAGTCATAACAGGCACGGCCTGCTGAAGACCTGACACCTACTGCCTCTAAGAGGTGGCATCACAGAGGCTGGGGAAGGGGGCCTTGAGGGCCAGGGCACTTGGGGACACCCATGAAGAAGGACATGTGAGTATGAGCCCCATGAGGATTGGGAGGGGGCAGCGGAGTCCCACCTGGGGCGGGGGGACTGCAGAGCCCCAGCCCCACCCCCAGCCCTGTGGAATGCCAGCCTGGGGCCCAGCTGGTGTAAATCCCTGGGCCTGCCTGGGCCCCAGCCAGCCTCAGGAGCACCTGCACCCTCTGGCAGCCCAGAGAGGCGGAAGGGAGCAGCACCCCCTCCTGCCTCAGGCCCTGGGATTAACGCCTCCTGACTCTCCCCATCCCTACTCTGCCCACACTGGGAGCAGAGGGTGGCAGTGGCAGGGTAAAAGCTTCTGCATGCAAATGTGTGTTTCAGTCTGCATAACAGCAAGTAGGAAAATCTGCAAGCTTAAGTGTGTAAGTGAAAAGTCTGCCTGTGTGTAGTTAAGAATGGGCATGGACCTGTGGTGGTGAAGTCCTTATGTGAGGGTGCTGGACTGCAGGTCTGAGTGCAAACCTGCTGTGGTGGCCTGGGGGAATCCCTTCCCCTGTTTGAGAGGCTGGACAGTGGCCACTGCATCGGGAGCATCAGGGGAGGGGCTGGGGACTCCAAATGTGTCCCCAAAGTAGCGCAGCCTCAAGTTCCCAGGAGGCCCCCTGCTTGGAGACTTGGGGAGCAGAGGGAAATCAGGACCACAAAGAGAGGGGGCAGCATGGAAATTCTTTTCCTGACAAAGGGAATCTGAGTCAAGGACCCAGGCAGCAGAGCCCCTCCCTGGGCATCCTGGCTCCAGCTCCCAGTCACCAGCACCTTCAGACTCCAGGCTGTGTGAGGACAGGCCAGGGAGGAAAGGAGGGGGTAGGGAAGAGGGGAGGGGAGCCCATGGTTGGGGGGCAGGGGACAAGCATCTGGCCTGCAGGAGAAGGTGACCCTCACCCAGTGTGCTCAATTCACCCTTCAGGTTAAAAATAACCAAGGTAAGGGCCTGCTGGGGCGGGGGAGGTGGTATGAGAGGTCCTGTCTTCCCACTATCTGCCCATCAGTCCTTTGGAGGGGAGGAATGTGCCCAAGGACTAAAAAAAGGCCCTGGGGCCAGAGGGGCTAGTACGACAGACCTTTCATGGGCAAATCAGGAGGCTCTGCTGTCCTCTTGTCACCTCTGGAGCCAAGGGATCAAGGGAGGAGGAGCTGAGAGGGGGAAGAGGTGGGAGGGAGGGTCCCTCCGGAAGGGCTCCAAATTTAGGCAGAGGGTGGGGGCAGTAGGATATAAAGGAGCCAGCTCCCCAGACAGACTGACACTCCTCTGAGCCAGGTAAGACAGGCTTTGGGGTGGGGGCTGTGGCAGCCCTCAGAGCCACCATCTTGAGGAGAATGGGGTGCAGGTCAGTCAGAGGTCCAAGGACTCTGCTAGCGCTTCCCCTAGCACTGGGGAGTCCCACTGACAGTGGGGAGGTTCTAAGGGGAAAGCCAGTAACGTCTTTCCTTCCCCTATCTGCATTTCCTCCCCTGCATCTGTCTTCTCCTGCTTTCTGTGTCCTCCACGCTCCTTCTCCCTCCTTGGATGGCTTCCCTCTCTTTGTCCAGTTTTATTTTGCCTCTTGGTCTTTGTCAGTACTTGTCACTATCATTCTTCTTTGTGCGTCTCTCCTCCTGCCCGTCCTTCTTGGCTGTGTGTTCTAATTCCCTCTTCTCTCTGTTTCCAACTTGGATTCCACATCCCGCTCCTTGCACTTTTACTAACTGTGCATCCTTTCTTTCCTGCCTCTCTGCTCCCTGCCTCTCTGCTCTCTGCCTCTCATCTCACCCTGACTCCCCATTTTGGTCTTACTTCTCCCCATCAGCCTGCCTTCATTGTTCATTTTTCTCACCTGTTCTCTCTGCCTGGCTCTACCTCTGTGGCTCCATCCACGGTCTATCGGCTCCAGGATTCTCTGTGAAGAGATAACGAGGTGAGAACCACCCCAATTTTCTCCTGAGAGCCAGGTTCCTGGACCAGGGCCAGCTGTCTCTCCTCTGAGCAGCTCAGCACCCCGCCTTGGCAAACTCCAGCCAATTCTATCCCACACAGACACCTCACAAACTCTTCTTCAGCATCACATCAGAGGGCAAGGGAAGCAGAACCTGAGTAAGGGAGGGCTGGACCCAGGCCAGGTGCTTCTCAGTGGGGGAGTTGAGAGTGATAGGGCCCAGGTGGTGAGGTGGGGCAGGGAGTGGGGGTACAGAGGGCAGTGCCACCCACCGAGGCCTGGGCCCTCCTGTTTCGATTGACTATAGAGGAGCGACAAGATGACGGACGCCCAGATGGCCGATTTTGGGGCGGCAGCCCCGTACCTCCGCAAGTCGGAGAAGGAGCGTCTAGAGGCCCAGACCCGGCCCTTTGACATCCGCACTGAGTGCTTCGTGCCCGATGACAAGGAGGAGTTCGTCAAGGCCAAGATCCTGTCCAAGGAGGGAGGCAAGGTCACTGCCGAGACGGAGACAGGCAAGGTGTGTGGGGCACAGCAGAGGGGGTTGGTGCAGGGGTGGAGCCACTAGCAGCAGGAGCTGAAGGGCCTTGAAGAAGAGCCAAAGCCTGTGGGGCTGAAGGACGAGCCCAGCGGGAGAAGCCCAGCATCTGAGTGAGAACCCTGACCTTTCTTGTTAGATCTGAGCAGGTGTGACAGGTGCCACCCCCCAGGGATGCACACCCCTTGCCAGAGAGGATGCTGGAAGCAGGAAACTTTAGCTGGTTACCTCCTCAGAGCAGTCTTATAGATAAAGAAGACACAGAAACAGCATCAAATGAACTCCCTTCTTGAACTTGTATCCCTCCTCTCTGTGCCTGTTTCTTCCATGGACCAACTCTCTCCAGACCTCCCCAACCATGCCAAGAGCAAACTCTTAGTCCCAGTGAACACAAAGAGCAAGAACCCTTGAGCTGAATGCTCAGTCGGGGCTGGTGACTGGCACTCAGAAGTCCACAATCCCTGGTCCCTCATGCCAGTGGTGAGAACTGCCCCTGGTGACCAGCAGCGACTCAGAAGCACGTGCCTTGCAGACATGCTGACTGACTGCTGTGCCCTATTGAGGCGTGCAACAAGAGACCACAACCTGCTCGCAGCTTTGACCCCGAAAACCCAGCTCTGCCACTAGCAGCCACCATATTGGCAAATCATTCAGTTATTAGATCCGCAGTTCCTCCACTATAAAACATGCCGGAATAGCTACCTGCAGGATCTCATGAACTGAGGGCCTGGTAAACTGACTGGTGGCAATCAAGGCAGACAGTGACTGGTGGGGAGTGCAGGGTAGATGGGAGAGATGTTTTTCTGAGGTTTTCCCTGAGCAACTGATGCCCTGAAACACTGTCCCCAGGAGTCAGGGTAAGGTGTGTGTGCACAGATCAGAGAGCAGCCAGCCCCTTTGTTTTTTGTTCCTAAACACCTGAAGCAGGGACTGAAAGGGGATGCTTATGGGCACAGGGTTGGGGAACTGGCAAGACATGGGGACTCCAGGACTGTTAGTAGGATGCAAGAGACTGTGGGCAAGTAAGCTATCGGGCATCATAGAGAGCTATAGAGTAGGGCCCAGGCACTGGTGAGAAAAGAGCTGGGGGACCAAGGCTAGATGATGGCCTGTGTTTTGGGCAGAGGTAAGTGGGCAAGGCTGGCGAGGGTCCTGGTGGGAGTGGGGTCACCCATGCCTCCTCCCCAGACGGTGACCGTGAAGGAGGACCAGGTGTTGCAGCAGAACCCGCCCAAGTTCGACAAGATCGAGGACATGGCCATGCTGACCTTCCTGCATGAGCCAGCAGTGCTTTTCAACCTCAAGGAGCGCTACGCGGCCTGGATGATCTATGTGAGTGCACCCTGCACGCGGCAGGCAGCCCATCCTGCATGGAGTCCAAAGTAGGCCAGGGTGACTCTCTCGAGGGAAGGAGGTCAGAACTCTCCCAAAGGGCCCAGGACCCCCCGCCCCCTCCCCACCCTGGTCAGCTGCAGGAAGAGAGGAGCCAGCAGGGGAGACCAGGGCCTCCTATGCCTGTCACCACTGCCCGTCCCCTCCTGGGCTTCCTGCTCCAACTTCTCATGACTGCCCTGCTTCAGACCTACTCCGGCCTCTTCTGCGTCACCGTCAACCCCTACAAGTGGCTGCCGGTGTACAACGCTGAGGTGGTGGCTGCCTACCGGGGCAAGAAGAGGAGTGAGGCACCGCCCCACATCTTCTCCATCTCTGACAACGCCTACCAATACATGCTGACAGGTGGGCTGGCAGCCCTGTCCTATGGCCCCTGAGTCCCACACCCATGGACCTGGGCCCTCAGCCCTGAACCCATCACCTCTCCTCTTTTCTCTTCCAGATCGGGAGAACCAGTCCATCCTCATCACGTGAGTGAGCACCATCCGCCCACAGAGGAGCCTGATGTGCTGGGATGGGGGTTGGTTTAAGGCTGTGACTGCAAGGAACTGGGCTCTCTCAAGAGTGCTGGAGTGACTTAAGGCGATGGGCAGATTCTGCAGGGAGATGGACCCTGGTAGAGGAAATTAGATGATTGGGACTCTGAGGGAAGAGGGTGCAGCATATACTTTGAATGGAGAACAGTGGGAACCTGGGTTCTGATGAGTCCCTGTCACCTCCAGTGGAGAATCCGGGGCAGGGAAGACTGTGAACACAAAACGTGTCATCCAGTACTTTGCCAGCATTGCAGCCATAGGTGACCGTGGCAAGAAGGACAATGTCAACACAAACAAGGTACAGGGTGGGCCACAAGCTCAGCAGAGGGGGTCTGGGAGGCAGGCTGACCCAGTGACCCCTAGCCCTGCCCCGGGGAACAGTGCAGACAGCACCCCTGAGCCCAGAGCTCAAGACCTTCCCGGCAGGAGACACATATTCTGAGGTCCGAATACATGGCCTTTTGGAGCCACAGACCCACCAGCAGTCCACCCAGCCCCTTCCCCCTTCCCCTCCCACCACCACCTGGAGGTGGACTGGAGATGGAGCCCCATTCCCTTCACAGGGCACCCTGGAGGACCAGATCATCCAGGCCAACCCTGCCCTGGAGGCCTTCGGCAACGCCAAGACCGTCCGGAATGACAACTCCTCCCGTTTCGTGAGTGCGCTTGACCACTGCCGACTGGCCTCATGTGGCCTTGACCCAAAAAGGGGGGTGCAGTTTTGCCAACAGTCACCACACCTGGCTGATTGCCCTGCGTTTAGTATTGGGTTATCAATTAGCATGCACACTTCAAATCCTCCCCATTCAGCCTGGTCCCCAAGTTCTGGGAACTCAAGAAAAGAGATTCAGAACCACCACAGCTGCTCCATAGCCAATTAATAGAGCTGATTTTGGTCACATTCTAGATTTTTCTTAGGACTGTTTCCAAAGCTCTTCCACACTGGAAGTAGGAAGTGAGTATGGGTGTTGGAGCCAATTTCCCAGCTTTTCACCTGCCCAGCAAGTCCCCATGCCTCTCTGAGCCCCAGTTCCTTCATCTATGAGACAGAGGTAGTAATATCTACCTTGTGGATTATTGGCAGGATTATATGAGATCACATCAGAGGTACAAACAGGACGCACTCTACCTGTGTTCATTCCTGTGCCGTTGTTTCTGCTCGGGGATCCCAGTGTGATTTTGGGGGATGGGAATCCTCTTTCCTGTTTTACTTATACTAAACTGGGACCTCAAAGAGGTCGTTTACATTTCCAGAACCATCCAGGGCATTCTGGATTGCACTAAGGTCCAGGATCTCCATCTGTCTCTTCTGGCCAGCTCCCTCACTCTTTGTCTCATTCGCCCCCAGGGGAAATTCATCAGGATCCACTTTGGAGCCACTGGAAAGTTGGCTTCTGCAGACATAGAGACCTGTGAGTACCCAGGGCACCCTGCCCACCCCTCCAGATCCTCCACCTCTGCCTTCTTTCCCCGCTGGGCACCCCTATCTCATCATCTCCCCTCCATCTTCTGTCTGTCTACATTTCCATCGGTTTTAGAATTCTTCCTTTAAACCACTTGCCAAAGGAGCCTTTCTCTCCTGATCTCCACCCTTTTGCTGGCTCACCTCTCTCTCCTTCCTTATCTGCCTTCCCTCTCCTCACTTCAGACCTCCTGGAGAAGTCCCGGGTGATCTTCCAGCTGAAGGCTGAGAGGAATTACCACATCTTCTACCAGATCCTGTCCAACAAGAAGCCAGAGCTGCTGGGTGAGCCCGGCTCGATGCCCCTGCTGCCCCCAGCGCCCTCCACAAGCCTGCCTGTGTAGGGCAGCGCCCTCTTCCTCCTCACTCACCCAGCTGCCCTTCTCATCTCCCTCCTCCCTCCATCTGCTCAATGCCTTTCTCTTCCTCCCCCACCTTGGACCTGCCTGCGTCTCCTCTTGCCTCCCTTTCCACCCTTCCTTCTCCTATTTCTCTTCCTCCTTGTTGATTTTCTCCTTCTCTTCTGCATTTGCCCCACCTCCTCCCACCTATCACTCTCCCACCATCCCCCCTGCCCTGGGTCCTGCTGCCCACTTTTCTTTTTCTTCTGGATCCTCCCCTTGGTCCTTGCTGACTGTTCTCCTCTCTACCTGCTCCGGCTCCTTTCCTCCCTTCTCCCCACCCCTCCCCCACCGTACCCCTCCCCCACCCCGTCCCCTGCCCTGTCCCTCCCCTCGCCTGGACAGACATGCTACTGGTCACCAACAATCCCTACGACTACGCCTATGTGTCCCAGGGGGAGGTGTCCGTGGCCTCCATCGACGACTCCGAGGAGCTCATGGCCACAGATGTGAGCGAGGAGGCAGTGGGAGGGCCCCGGGGCTCCTGGGAGACCCGCCCGGCCGCCAACTCGGCCTCTCTCACCCTGCCCCAGAACGCCTTCGACGTGCTGGGCTTCACTTCTGAGGAGAAAGCCGGCATGTACAAGCTGACGGGCGCCATCATGCACTACGGAAACATGAAGTTCAAGCAGAAGCAGCGCGAGGAGCAGGCGGAGCCTGACGGCACCGAAGGTGGGACAGCAGGAGGGCGCGCGCCGGCAAGGCCCGAGGTGCTGGGTGTTTGCCCTTCACGCAGAAACAGTCCTCGGGGGGCAGGGTCTCCCACGCTGTGTCCAAAAAGGGTGCCTCTCCACGATTCTTAAGGAGCTATGTTCTCGGCACCCACGTTAGGAACACGACAGACAAAGTGGGAGGAAACCGGAAGTGGAGAAGCAGGTGGTCGCAAGGCGGTGCCTTCTCCCAGGGGGCGCTGGCCACGCCCCCCCGGGGGTGGCTCCCCAGCCCCACCGCCCCGACACCATCTGGCTCTGACTGCAGGCTTAATCCTCCCTTAGAACCTTGCCTGAGACCACCCTCCGTCCCAGACAGGCTGGCTCCCAAAGGACCTGAGGCTTATGGGGTAGATGCGTCAGTGAGGGCTGAGGAGGGGCAGGGACATGGGAGAACTAGGCAGACAGGGAGGTGCTCCATCTTCCCGCCAGCTTCTCAACCCCAGCTGCATGGAGCAGAAGTGAATTGGGAAATTTTCCTCCTGTGCCCACGACTCCCCCAAGCCCAGGAAAGCACAGACCTGAGTTCTGCATATCCCCATCACTAATGCCATGTGTATGTGAGGGATTCCAAGCCCTTAGGTGAGCCTCTTGCAGACTCCGTGCCATGTTCTGTTTGGGAAGCAGCAGTTCAGGGGTCAGGACACAGCTCGGGGCATTGACATATCACCCATACCACGGGGCCTCAGTCTCCTCCTCAGTGGAATGGAGCAACAGCCCCTCCCAGCCCCCTCTGGGGCTGTTTCGAGAATCTTTTGAGAAGGAGTTGTGAAGGTGTCAACAGGGCTGAACAAACCCCCAAGAACATTCCTCTTGGCCAGCCTTCATGGACCTTTTCTCTCTGTCTGTCCAGATCAAATCCCAAGCCTCAGTTTCACAGTAACATGTCACTGATTATCACAAAACTGTTGAAATTAAACCAAATAAATTCCCTCCAAATAGAGGTCATATGTTGGATGCCACATTTGCAGAGCTTGGGGTTGGAGATGGTGCTGTCCAACATACCGTTAGGAACCTTGATTTCCCAGTCAGGTTGGTCAACACATGGCTTCAGAGTAGAGCATTCCCAGTCTTGGGGCTGGGACTAGGGACAAAGGAGGCAAGGATCAGAGGAGATCTTGTCCCATCAGTCATGTTCCATGCCCTCAAGAGATAAGAGGATTCCTGGGGAGTAGGGGAGCAGTGAGGACATGGTTATAGCAGTGCACTGGCCAGAGACATGCAGGAGATATAAAGACAGAGGCGAGGGGGCTGTGTGATGGGAGGTCCTGGGGTAATGAAGGGGCCTGGGCTCCAGCCTGACTCATACACACACTGGCTGGGTGACCATGACAAGCCTTGTAGCCTTCAGGCCCTTGCAGCTCTTTAATAAGAGGGGTAGGACCTGATGGCCTGGTCAGGGAAGGAGGGTCTGTTGAAAGTGTTTGCTTACCTCTTTCCTTCTCTGCCAGATGCCGACAAGTCTGCCTACCTCATGGGGCTGAATTCAGCAGATCTGCTTAAGGGGCTGTGCCATCCTCGAGTGAAAGTGGGCAATGAGTACGTCACCAAGGGGCAGAACGTCCAGCAGGTGTATTACTCTATCGGGGCACTGGCCAAGGCAGTGTATGAGAAGATGTTCAACTGGATGGTGACGCGGATCAACGCCACCCTGGAGACCAAGCAGCCGCGCCAGTACTTCATAGGGGTCCTGGACATCGCTGGCTTCGAGATCTTTGATGTGAGCAGGGGAGCCCTGGGGGCAGGAGAACAGTAAATCACTTGGTGGCACGAGCAGCCATCCCTAGCTGAGCTGGCTACAGACCAGGCGGGAAAGGCAGTGGGCTGAGCGATGATGGAGACAGTCATGTGTCTTCAGGGGGCTCTCCCTCCCCGCCCTGACAGGGGAGGGACCAGCCACACTCCTTGCTGGGCTGGACACAGCCCCGGGCTGACCCCGTGGGCCACACAGACACCTGCCCACCTGACCCGCTCCCGCCCTCCCTGCCCCGCAGTTCAACAGCTTTGAGCAGCTCTGCATCAACTTCACCAATGAGAAGCTGCAGCAGTTCTTCAACCACCACATGTTCGTGCTGGAGCAGGAGGAGTACAAGAAGGAGGGCATCGAGTGGGAGTTCATCGACTTCGGCATGGACCTGCAGGCCTGCATCGACCTCATCGAGAAGGTGCTGCCTCGGCCCCTCTGCCTGGTTCCGCTTCCCTGCCATCCCAGACAAAGTGGCAGCCCTGTTCCTCCACACCCAGGAGACTAGTCCCAGAATCCCAAGCCTCCCTCCAGGCCCCGCTTCTACCCACTGTGACGGGCAGACAGATCCAGCCCTTCCTTCCCTTCTCTCCCTAGCACCTAGGACTTTGTCCAGGTGGTAGTCACCTCCCGGGGTCTTAAGAAGGGATGGAGTAAAGGAGAGGACTCCTGGGCCCTCTAACACCCCAGGAGAAGTGTCATTAGTGGAAAGACCCTAGGCTGAAACTAGACACTTTGGCTTGCTGTCCTCTCCCTGGTGGCTGAGGATAAATCCGTCTTCAGCCCCTCTTGTCTATGGAGGTTCCTCAGAGGAGACAGGACAGAGCTGGCGGGAGGCTCCTAGTGCTGACTTGCTCTCAGTGTGTCTTTGCACTTTGCTGATGGAGGCCAGAGCCTGCGGTAACTGACCCTCCCCCAGCCCAGCCCCAGCCATTCAGAAAACAGGAGCTTCCCCACAAGCTTTGAGTGGTTATCCAGGATTCTGCTCTTCCAGAGGCCTCAGGTTTCCCCTGAAATTGTGTGGAAAGGCATGTGTGCATGTGTGTGTGTCTACATGCACTTTTCTGAGGACAAAGTCTTTGGATTCATCAAATTCTCATAGGATTCCTGCCCCAAGAAAAGTCATGAATCGCCACACTTTCAGGACATTGTGCAGAACCTACACCCTTCTAACCACCCCTTGGAGGATTATTACACTTATAGACACAGGTCTGGCCTGCCCTGCAGCCTGGTGCCTCTGCCACACATCTGTCCCTTCCCTCACTCTGCTCTGGGGCAGGGAGCCACACAGGAAAAAGGGGCTGTGCTGGGAGCCCTGAGGAACCCTAGAGGGGACTGGGAGTACAGGGCTCTTCTCTGGGTTCACTGGGGCCAGATCTGAATGTATTTGGATTTAGGTTAATTCCAGGAATATTGGCTTCCTGTGTCAGGAACCAGTGCGGGTTCTGTGGCCTGCCAGCTACACTGGGCTGTGATCTCACCTGTCGGGGTGTGGGACTCTGCACACCTGGGAGTACACTCAGTGCTGCTCTCCCCTCCACCCTCAGCCCATGGGCATCATGTCCATCCTGGAGGAGGAGTGCATGTTCCCCAAGGCCACCGACATGACCTTCAAGGCCAAGCTGTTCGACAACCACCTGGGCAAGTCCGCCAACTTCCAGAAGCCACGTAACGTCAAGGGCAAGCCGGAAGCCCACTTCTCCCTGATCCACTACGCCGGCACCGTGGACTACAACATCCTGGGCTGGCTGGAGAAGAACAAGGACCCACTCAACGAGACGGTGGTGGACTTGTACAAGAAGTCCTCCTCAAGTTGCTCAGCAGCCTGTTTGCCAACTAC